CCAGAAAATTCCCCACCGACAAGGCAGGCGATGATACCGAGGCCGCCTTAGAAAATTTCGAAAGGGCCTGCCTTGGGTACAGCATCACTTCAGACCAGTACATGGTAGAGCTGAGGCTGCAGCTCAGTGGACCCTTAGCAGAGGTGGCGGCTGAAATGCCTAAGGAACACATGAACAGTTATGAACTTTTTAAAAACAAGGCCAGAATCAGAATGGGGCTAACACCCAAGCATGCCTGTCAGCAGTTCAGAGCTCTAAGGTGGAAACCAGACATGTCATTTACCCAACATGCCTACTACATTGTGAAAAATTGGGATGCCTGGATATCAAGAGCAAGTGTTAAATCTCCAGAAGAGTTGCCTTTCCTAATGCAAATGGAGCAGTTTTTAGACAGTGTTCCTGAGGAAATAGAAAGGTTCCTCCTAGCTGGGAAGCCCAAAACTCTAACCAAGGTGGGGGAGATTGGAGCCAAATGGGTGGAGGTGGCAGAAAAGAAAAAACTAGTAGCAGTTGGAGCAAATATCAGAAGTGGTAACCCAAAACAAAACCCTATCACTGGGGGCAACCCAAGGCCCCACCTACATCCCAAGGAAAACCCCAGACACCTTATTGTCCCACCACACCAGTCTCCAGCAACCCACCTCGCTCCAGTGACCAGTAAGCTGGGCGATGTTTTAAATGTAATGAGCTGGGGCATGTGAAGGCCAATTGCCCCAAGAACCCCAACAGACTGCAGTTCATTACGCCAGAGTCACACCCAAGGTCCTCAGGCTCAGATGCCTCCCAGGTACCCTCAGAGTGAAGGAAAACTGTGAGTGTGGGCAGGAAGAAGGTTACAGCGTGGAGGGACACTGGAGCACATGTGTCAGCTATCCACCAATCCTTAGTAGACCCCAAATTTGTCAACCCAGAGGCCCAAGTGACAATTCAACCATTCATGTCAAAATCTTTAAACTTACCTACAGCTAAGTTGCCTGTCCAGTACAAGGGCTGGTCAGGAATGTGGACTTTTGCAGTCTATGATGATTATCCCATTCCCATGCTGCTAGGGGAAGATTTGGCCAACCATGTGAAGCTAGCCAAGAGGGTGGGAATGGTCACCTGCAGCCAGGCTAAGCAAGCTTTAACACCTATCCCTGTTCCTGAGCCTTCCACCAGGGCCTCGCCTGTGTTACCAGAGACCCAGACAGAGGTGGTGGAACCAGATCCCCTGCCAACGACTGCAACAGCCGTAGTGGATCCAGTTCCAGAAACCCAGCCAAAGCCAGCCCCAGAACCGGAACTGGCAACGCAACCAGCACCAGAATGATTGCCAGCACTGAGTCCAGCGCTTGCAAACCCATCTACAACTTCAACACCAGAAGGCACCACCGAGCCTGCACTGGCAGCAGCAGCAGATAACCCTACACAAGAGGCTCAGCCAGAGCCTGAATACCACATAGTGCACCAGCAGAGAGCAGTTCACCATCAACAGAAACAGCCCCATCACCTGCATCACTTCCAGAGGGACCAAGCCCAGGTCCACAATCCAGTGAGGAACTGATGTCTCTAGCATCAAGGGAACTGTTCCAGGCTGAACAGGAAGCAATGACAGCCTCCAGGGAGCTTGGATGGTGGAACGGAGCAACCCACCGCCTCTCAGCTCCTCTAATCAATCCGTTTGTTGTAGAAAGAGGACTTTTATACAAGGAAACTCTTTCTGGTGGGCATCAGGAAGATTGGCATCCTCAGAGACAGTTGGTAGTTCCAACTAAGTACCAGGTAAAGCTCTTGAGCTTAGCCCATGAGCATCCTAGTGGCCATGCTGGGGTGAACAGGACCAAAGACCGTTTGGGGAGGTCATTCCACTGGGAGGGAATGGGTAAGGATGTTTCTACTTATGTCTGGTCTTGTGACGTGTGCCAAAGAGTGGGAAAACCCCAAGACCAGGTCAAAGCCCCTCTTCAGCCACTCCCCATAATTGAGGTCCCATTTCAGCGAGTAGCTGTGGATATTCTGGGTCCTTTCCCAAAGAAGACACCCAGAGGAAAGCAGTACATACTGACTTCCATGGTTGCTTGCTACCCGAGGGCCGGAAGCAATAGCTCTAAGCAACATCAGGGCTAAAAGTGTGTGCCAGGCCCTAACAGACATTTTTGCCAGGGTAGGTTGTCCCTCTGACATCCTTACCGATTCAGGAACTAATTTCCTGGCCGGGACCATGAAAAGCCTGTGGGAAGCTCATGGGGTGAACCATTTGGTTGCCACCCCTTACCACCATCAAACAAATGGCCTGGTGGAGAGGTTTAATGGGACTTTGGGGGCCATGATAGGTAAATTCATAAATGAGCACTCCAATGATTGGGACATAGTGTTGCAGCAGTTGTTCTTTGCCTACAGGACTGTACCAAATCCCAGTTTAGGGTTTTCATCATTTGAACTTGTATATGGCTGCGAGGTTAAGGGCCCATTACAATTGGTAAAGCAGAAATGGGAGGGGTTTGTGCCTTCTCCAGGAACTAACATTCTGGACTTTGTAAACAACCTACAAAACACCCTCCGAACCTCGTTAGCCTTTGCTAGAGAAAACCTAAAAGATGCTCAGGAAGAGCAAAAAGCCTGATATAATAAACATGCCAAAGAGCATTCCTTCAAAGTAAGGGACCAGGTCATGGTTGTGAAGGCGCTCCAGGCCCATAAGATGGAAGCATCGTGGGAAGGGCCTTCACGGTCCAAGAGCGCCTGGGAGCTGTTAATTATCTCATAACATTCCCCACCTCAAATTTAAAGCCTAAAGTGTACCATGTTAATTCTCTAAAGCCCTTTTATTCCAGAGAATTAAAAGTTTGTCAGTTCACAGCCCAGGGAGGAGATGACGCTGAGTGGCCTGAAGGTGTCTATTATGAAGAAAAAAGTGACAGTGGTGTGGAAGAGGTGAACCTCTCCATGACCTTTGGATGTATGCAGCAACAGCAGATGAAGGAGCTGCGCACTAGCTTCGCGCCGATATTCTCAGCCACCCCAGGACGGACCAAACGGGCATCCCACTCCATTGACAGCGGTAATGCTCACCCAATTAGAGTCCAACCTTACCGGGTGTCTCCTCATGCTAAAACTGCTATAGAATGGGAAATCAAGGATATGCTACAGATGGATGTAATCCACCCCTCTGACAGTGCATGGGCATCTTTAGTGGTTCTAGTTCCCAAACCAGATGGGGAGATACGTTTTTGCGTGGTCTACCGTAAACTAAATGCTGTAACTCGCACAGGTAACTATCCAGTGCCACGCACAGATGAACTATTGGAGAAACTGGGACGTGCCCAGTTCATCTCTACCTTAGACTTAACCAAGGGGTACTGGCAGGTACCGCTAGATGAATCCGCCAAGGAAAGTTCAGCCTTCATCACCCATGTCGGGCTCCCTTTTGGGCTGCGAAATGCACCCACCACCTTTCAAAAACTTGTAGATGGTTGCCTAGAGGGATTGGGAGAATCTGCCGTCACCTACCTTGACAATGTGGCCATCTTTTCTGATTCATGAGGAGAACACCTGGAGTACCTGGAAAAAGTCTTTGATTGCATAAGGCAGGCAGGACTAACTGTTAAGGCTAAAAAGTGTCAGATAGGCCTAAACAGAGTGACTTACCTTGGACACCAGGTGGGTCAAGGAACTATAAACCCCCTACAGGCCAAAGTGGATGCTCTCCAAAAGTGGCCTGTCCCAAAGTCAAAGAAACAGGTCCAATCCTTCTTAGGCTTGGCCGGATATTACAGGAGATTTGTACCACACTACAGCCAAATCACTGCCCCACTAACAGACCTAACCAAAAAGAAACAGCCAAATGCAGTTCAATGGACTGAAGTGTCAGAAGGCCTTTAACCAGTTTAAAGCGACACTCATGTCTGACCCTGTGCTAAGGGCTCCAGACTTTGACAAACCGTTCCTAGTAACCACAGATGCGTCTGGACGTGGTGTGGGAGCAGTTTTAATGCAGGAAGGACCGGATCAAGAATTCCATCCTGTCGTGTTTCTCAGCAAGAAACTGTCTGAGAGGGAAAGCCACTGGTCAGTCAGCAAAAGGGAATGCTACGCCATTGTGTACACGCTGGAAAAAACTATGCCCATACATTTGGGGGCAGCGTTTCCAACTACAAACCGATCATGCTGCACTAAAGTTGCTTCATACCACCAAGGGAAATAACAAAAAACTTCTTCAGTGGAATTTAGCTCTCCAAGATTTTGATTTTGAGATACAACACATTTCGGGAGCTTCTAACAAAGTGGTTTTCCAGAATCAATTGGTTAAAAATTGTTCTTGGAATGTGAGACATATTGTTAGTTTTTATATAATCAATAGTATGTCTAAAGGTGCATGTGTCTTATTAACTCTGTTTTCTCCTAGAGCTCCAGGAAGAAATCACAGCCAGTGTGGAACCAACACTATCTGTGATTTGGGGGGCGTGTCATAACTAGAAAGGGAAGGGTAACAACCCTCCTATATACAATACTACAAAATCCTTTTACCTGTAAAGGGTTAAGAAGCAGGTAACCTGGCTGACACCTGACCCAAAGGACCAATAAGGGGACAAGATACTTTCAAATCTTGGGGGGAGGAGGCTTTTGTTTTTGTGCTCTTTGTTTTGGTGGTGTTTGCTCTTAGGACTAAGAGGGACTGGACATCAATCCATATTCTCCAAATCTTTCTGCACAAGTCTTTCATATTTCAAACTTGTAAGTAACAGCCAGGCAAGTCATATTAGTTTTATCTTTGTTTTCTCAACTTGTAAATGTTCCTTTTGCTAGAGGGTTTACCTCTGGTTGCTGTAACTTTGAACCTAAGGCTAGAGGGGTTTCCTTTGGGCTCTTTGAATCTGATTACCCTGTAAAGTTATTTTTCCATCCTGATTTTAAAGAGAGAATTTTTACCTTTTCTTTTAATAAAATTCTTCTATTAAGAACCTAATTGATTTTTCATTGTTTTAAGATCCAAGGGTTTGGATCTGTGTTCACCAGGACTAATTGGTATGGGGATATACTCAAGCCTACCCAGGAAAGGGGGGTTAGGGGCTTGGGAGATATTTGGGGAAAGGCAGAGTTCCAAGTGGCTCTCCATAAATATTTGGTTAAAATGCTTGGTGGTGGCAGTGTATTTTTAACCTAAGCTGGTAAAAATAAGCTTAGGGGGTCTTTCATGCGGGTCCCCACATCTGTACCCTAAAGTTCATAGTGGGGAGGGAACCTTGACAGCACCATTAATAGTTCTCTGAAAACATTTGCTCAATGTGCAGCAGCAGTCAAAAAAGTTATTAGGCAGCATTAGGAAACGGCTAGAAAAAGACAGAAAATGTCTCAATGCCACTATGTAAATCCATGGTGCATCCACACCCTCTGTACTGTGTCCAGTTCTGGTTGCCCCATCACAAAAAAATATAGGGGGACTGGAAAGGGTTTAGAGAAGGGCAACAATGATGATCAAAGATGAGGAGGACAAAAATGTTTAGCTTAGAGATGACTAAGGGTGGATATGATAGAGGGCTATGCAAAGAAAATAAATAGATAAGTGTTATTTACCCTTACACAGAATACAAAGACCAGGGGTCAGCTGACAAAATTAACATGCAGTAGATTGAATACAAATGAGGAAGTACTTTTTCACATAGTGCAGTTAATCTGTGGAACTCATCACCATGGGATGTTGTGATGGCCAAAAGTATAACTTGGTTCACAAAAGAACTGGATAAGTCTATCAATGGGTATTAGCCAAAATGGTCAGGGCCAGAACCCCATGCTTGGGACAAAGCTGGGTGTGGAAGACTCCCCATTACTGACCTGTTGTACACCCTCCACCACCCCTCCCCAAAAGTTCTGGTACCAGCCACTGTCAAGAGACAGGATATTGGGTAAGAGGAACCATAGTCTAACCCCGTAGGGCAGTTATGATGTCGTTAAGGCAAAGTTGTGGCTGTAAAAAAAACTTTTAGCCAGCCCTTTGTGCATTACTGCAACTTCTCTTTGAATGGGAAATTAGGTAAATATGAAAAAGAGCTTCAAAGCCACTTCACTTCATTACTTTCCTAGCTCTTAATCAAAACAAGATCCTAGGTTACTCCTGTGACAAATTAATTTTTTATTACAGGCTCAGGATATAAAAACACCACACAGCTTCCAAAAATTTGCAGGTGCGGGCCTTAATCATGAAATCAGTCAATCTGCCTGACCATGTGAGACAAAACAGACGACAGAATAAATACCCCTAGTGAGAACTCTCATTATTCCAGTCATTTATTTTGTATCATGGTATTTAGAATACAAGACAAATGGATCTGTCACATGTGCTTTGATATAGCTGCCTATTATGTCCAGTAACTGCAGTGGTCTATTATTGTTCATAAAAACCTGTATTTCAAAACTAAGTTGTGCTTGATAGTGTAATGATCACCCAGAAGTGCACAAAGTTGATTAGGCTTTGTATGACAGAACTATGTGTAAAGGGGCATTGTAATCTCACAAATTCATTGCATGTCATATTGCTTAGACATGTTCAGTCATACAAGATGACTGCTGCTCTCAACATCGTAAAAATCCATTTTATACCAACACCTTGGTTTTCCATAAATACTGCTTTAAAAGATTCTCTTCCTTTAGCACTCCCTGAAATAAAATGCTTCTGCAACATCTTTAAGATCATACAAATACTATTGTGCAATATGGTCCAACTAGTTATTAATCCAATACCCCATTGCACAACTGAGGAAACAGGAACCTCAGTGAAATGACTTATGGTCACAGAGGAACTGTGGCAGAGCTGGGAATAAACCCCAGAGCTGACTCCCATTCTTGCTTTAAGCACTAGAAAAGCAGATCACGTCTTTGGGAAACTATAGCTCAATGATAGGAATATTTCTGCTACTTGAAGATGGTCTTGCTTAATGCATCAGATTCAATAGACTCTCCTTGAACTTATTTCCAGTACATCTTATGCCAGAAGGCTGAATAAGTTTTATATTTCACCCTCAAATTCTTATTCTGAGAATGGATTACTGAGTACATTAAGCATCAGAAACAAATTAAGTCACAATAGTTTGGGATAGAAAACAGAATCCTTTGAACAGCCCATCTGTTGTATTGCATTTTACATTTGGTGCACAGGACGTTTTATTCTATGATGGATTCTTCTCTGGCTTCTTTATCAGTCTGAATAACGCATTATTTTAACAGTTTTATTCCTTGAGGTGGCCTCCACTCCAGCGTGAACCTCATAGTTTAGCTCTGAAGGTTTATTATTTGCCACTTGCATGCTACTTTGTCTGAGGAGAGGGCCACGCTCCATAACCTCCTGGAGCTGCAGCCTGTTACTGTGGTGCTGCATGAATCCCATTTGAAGCTGCCTTAAGCTTCTCCCTCTCTCTTGCCTCTTTCTCAAACCCCGAACAACAGATGGATCTGCCCTTGGGGTATTGGGCGCAGCATCTTCGCATCTCTTGGAGCACAGCCTCACATCTAGCCTCCAGGTAGTTGTTGGCTGTAAAATAAAAGAATGGAGATGCTAATCCTGCACTAGAGAGCAAACTGCATGAAAAAGGGGGGTTCATCTAACCCAGTTAAGTTCTTTCACATTATGGATTGAGCTTGATCCTCTTGTGGCAACTTCTCCATCCCATCCACACCCCTGCTCTGCAATAGCTATGCTGCTTAGTTCTGGGGAACTAAGGAGATGAGGTGCAAATAACTCACTTTAATGGAGGAAGTACAGCTGATGGGTTGCATGACCCACCTCCTAATTGTGTATCTACCACTGCTAGGTGGAGAACTTCACACTTATTAGCAAATCTTCACTGATTGCCTGCCCTGCAACCCCTGCTCTCTCTAGCTGGGTTTGGACTTCGGTTCCATTGTCCCACGGATTTATTCCCCATCCAATTCTGAGGTCACCTGTACAGACACTCCCTGGGTTACGCAAACCCGACTTATGGAAATCTGGACTTACAGAAAAAGTTCCATATGTTCCGTAAGCTTTTTTTTTTTGCGTAACTGCCGGAGATATGTTCCCGACTTATGCAAAATTTGACTTATGCAAGGCATTCCAGAACGGAATGCTTGCGTAAGTTGGGGAGCTTCTGTAAATGATTACAGTTGAATATAAACCTTAGACACAAGATGAAGAACATAATGCAAATGCAGAGAGAAACATGGTTTGTTTGTTTTTTTCACTGAAGTTTGTCAAAGAGGCCTTTGGGCACCATAAGAGGGGCCAGGGATGGGTTGCAACCAGCAAAAAGAATCATTCCTTGGGGGCAGGCAGAGAGCTCTGCAGAGCAGCGTGAGGCCCCCTGCCCACTTTCCTGTGTCTCACAGTGCCATCAATTAGCTCAAAAGAGCTGAGACTAGGAATAAGCAACCTTCTAGTGGAGGTCAACTGACACAGCTCTCTCCTTCCCTTCCCAGTGCCTACAGTACCCCAGGTTTTTAGAAGCAGTGATAACTGTGGCACTCAATGAAGCCATAGTGCCCCAGGGTGCTAAGTGTTCTCAAGCTCTGCAGAACATAGATTACTTGTCCAACGCCACCTTTAATCTTTACTTTCTGAAACGGACACTCTGCTCGGCAGCACAGCTTGTTCAATGCTGTAACGTCCCAAAACACTTTGCAGGGCAGACCACCAATTTCAAAGAATGTGAGGATTTTGAGGGAGGTAGCCCCAAGCATGACTAAGCAGCTATTGCCGCAGGTGGAACAGTGGTGCTAGCTAATAAAGTCTCTGTCTGTAGGAAGCTTTCCTGGCCGGAGGGTTTGGTGACCACCCTGGGGTTATCTACCTTCCCCTAGAAAGTAGGCTTGAAAGGACTAGATTTTTATTGGTAAATGTCACTAAACGTCAGTTTCACCCTACACACACAAACTGACGCATCCATCAAAAATCATCAAAATTTCCAGATCGGCAAAGTAAGAAAAATGCTGCTTGAAAACTTAGAGTTTGATTTAAGGATATTTACCTTGTATATATTGTCAATTTATCTTTTCGAATTTCAACACTGACTGTCATTAAGTCACTGACCCTGACCCCCGATTTCCTGTAACTGTGAAAATTTAAATGGATAAAAATAAAAAAATGTTTAAACCCCATAATTTTGCGCAATTTTGAAAATATAGTTACAAATTGGAAAAAATGAAAATTATTCATTGAAATTATAAAACAATGAAACTCGAATTCTGCCAAGCCTAGTTAAGAGAGACGGAGATTGCGCTGCCCAAACAGGCACTGCTATAATCATTCTCCCAAGCTTTTTGAAGACTAAGAAAGAGCAAACAGTGACCCAATGAGAGACTAATAAAGAGCAGCTTGGGGATTCCAGAAAAGGCATTAGAATCTTTCCAGGGGAAGAGCAACCCTGTCTGGCTTACATCCTGCCAGGGTAACCCCAACTAGACCCCACGACCGTGATCTAGCCTGGGAGCGACACAGGCCTCCTGTCGTCTCCCCTGTACATCTCGCTGTGCGTTAACAGGAGCTATAGAGACCAGAGGAGGGTACCTTGCTCCTGGTGCTTTCCCTGACCAGTGAGCATCCCTTTTAGGTTAGCTGGAATGAGTCCTGGCCAATTAGCTCTCATTCACGTCCCAGCCACTGAGAAAGCAAGGAGGCTGATGAATCTAGGTTTAATGATGAGGACACCTACAGCTCAGCAGCATCTCTCCGTAGACAGCCTCTCATGGTTTCCCCTACAAGTTGCAGACATATATGGCACAGGGGAGGGGAGACAGACTGAAACCCTGGGCCTTGGCAAGAACAACTCACGGGAGAGAACCCGCACACCCACCTGGTATTTTCCAAGATGAGTGACCTGTGGCTCATCTTACTATGTGTGAGTAACGTGACCATCCCAAATTCAGGTTAATGCAAACTTTACTCCATACTACACCACCACTGCCTCGTCTATATATCTATCTCCAGACACACAAATAAATACTATCCTTTATTATAACAAATTCTTTGTTGTACAGTAGTGGAGTTTAGTTACATCAAATCAAATGCAATGTGGTGATATTAAAATCTGATTTTACAACTACATTACATTTGCAACTAAGTCATTTTTTGTCCTTGCCTTATTCCTTTTGCTAGGGAGAAAGGAGGATGGGGTTAAATTTAAAAACAAAACAAAACAAACAAGACACCAAAAAGAAAACATTGCACATGGTACCTTGCAAGCATTTCTGTATTTCACAGGCTTGTTTCTGGCAGGGATCCTTCTGGGGCATATCCACAGAACTAGAATGATAGGAAAATGTTACTATACAAACAGTGGGGTTTGGGCAAGGCACTGCCTAAGACTTAGACCCTAGGGAGCTCACATTTTCCCTGTTCATATACCCTCCTCACAATGGACAATTGGATGGGTCCCCATTCAAAGCCAGTCTCATGCTGCTTTAGGGTCACTGTGAGACACACAAAGAATCCCTTATCCCCACAAGTTGACCACAGAGCCTTCCCCCCTTTCCTGTCCTCTATTGGCCCAGGGAGCAACAATGCTTTAAACACCCTAGGATATCACTGGGGACAGCTAAAGTTAGGCAAGGAATGAAAAGTGGATGATGGGTATCTTGAAGGGTTCATCTTGTAAAACCCTGAAGATCTCTTCCTGGTCAAATCTAGTTCTTTTTCCATTTGGCAATTAGTGAACTCTCACCCACGCTGAATCTGAAGGATGCTTAAATGAACATGGTTGTTTTAGTTTAACAGTTCAATTCAGGTAGAGCTTATTATGCTCAAATATATTTTGATGTACCAACACTGCTGGGGGGGGAGCGGCGCTGCTAGGGAAACAGCATTTGTCATAGAACTGCCTCTGGAGAGGAATTTATAAATAAAAGCATATTTCTGTGGTCCTAAAAAAGGATTACTTTTTTTAAGAAAACGTCTTGGTGATCAGTAGATTAAAACCTAGCAAAAAATGCAGCAGATGAGCCTATCAGACTCAAACCTTTTTAAGATAGGGTTTTTGACACACAATTTGACCTATCGTCATGACACTTTGAGATCAAAAGGAAAGCAGAGGTGGATGGGTTTAGTAGTTGGATGGAAGACTCCAAAGAAAATGCAGATGCTGCAGGAAGTGGCGTTGGGGCATCATTCTTCCCTCTGAGCCACCATTAAGCCAAAGTTCCCACACAGTGCTAGGAGATGCTGATGTACTGTCTTGTGGATAGGATATGAAACAGACATTCTGACCATTCATGGTCATTTACAATCCCATGGCACCTTTCAAAACAGATGGGGTATTAGCCCCAGTATCCTGGCCAAACTCCAGTCAGGGAAATTACATTCTGCCTACCTAAAACTGCCCCTTGTAGTTTCAATTGGACATGACACTCTTCTTCACTGCCTGTCCTAAACTCTTGTGTGGTGCTGCTGTGTGCTGTTAAACAGCTGCCACCTCCCACCTCTGAGGTGGGAGAATCATATATTGTACAAAACAAACAGGGACATCTTCCTAGAGGCACCGCTCCTGAAAGACAAAAATTCATATTAAAGGACCACTACAAATAGTTAAAGAAGAGTAAGAAAGAGAGGAAATGGTGACACTTACCAGGTTAATCACCGGGCATGAGTCTAAGCAGCAGCTCCTCAACTCCCCCGATCTGTAAATTACAAGGAAAAGTTCAGTACACCTAAACCACTGTGGAAAAGAGCTAATATACCTCAATAATAATAATATTTCTTTGCCCTTCTACAGCACCTTTCCTCAGTGATCTCAAATCACTTCACAAACATGAATGACTCAGGTTTGCCACCAGCCTTACCATTAGGTGGTGCTGTATCTCCCAAATGCGAGAGTTACTATCCCTGTACTGCTCGCCCTCGGAAAGCTGCCACATGTGAGGCAGTTGCGATGGGGGAAGTTGGCTGGGTCGCAGTGCCTCACCCAGGGGGACCCGAACTCGTTGAATCCGGGCCCTCAGGGTACCTGCCTCCTAGGGGAAAGTACACAAGAGAAGAATAGTCAGTTATTAGCAGTGCAGTAAAGACGTCCACAATGTCAGAACTATGATCACTGAGAAGCTTGAAAGTCACTTGCCTCTTCCACAGCCACGAGCCATGTTTTACGGCGTTCATCACAGTAGACGCCTACCCGTCGCACCCACAGATGGATGGGCGGAGCACCGGCGTCCCCTCCTTCTGCCATTCCCTCAACCATTTGTTATGACACTCCCACTAGGCATGCAGCATCAACACACAGGACACACGCATGTTTCCCCTCAGCTCTGAACAAATTCATGGAGCAAACTGTTAGGCCTGAAAACTACCTGGTTTCAACGGCGCCATCGTGTGCTCACAAAAAGAGTTACTAGCAATATACCCAAAAGTCAATTCAGGAAACTAACAAGATACCCAAATGTCATGAGATGCTCATACTTTGTAGCATATGTGGCTGTATATAGCTTGTAAGGCATTTTGGGATCCTTTGGGGTGAAAGCGCTATATAACCATCATTACACCCCTTTACAATCGGCGTTACTTATTCCATTAAGCTTTGTGCAAACAATACATTATTTTACAAAGTGCCTTTAAACAAGAGTCCAGAGCCAATGATGCTCATGCTCCCAAAAGGCAGGACTGGTAACCAACAAGAGGTGAAAATAGCTTAGAAAGAACCAAAGTCATTCCAGAAACAATCCTGCCAATGGCTCTGCAGGTCTGATTATCTCATACTTGGCACTTGCAGTGCTGCCATGCTGAATCATCAGATCTCTTTGAAAGGCTGGGAGAACTGCCCATTCATTTACAAGCTTCTTGTCAATAGCCATTACTACTTTGTGCATTTCAGATTTTAGCTGCTAATTGAAGGGTAACTGATACCAGCGAGGGCAACAGAATGTTAGTCACTGAGGTGGCTTTTTCTATTGGGATTCTTCAAGTTTATCAGCGCTCTGAAGTCTGGCACAAGCTGACCTTAACATAATGAAGGTCAAGAAAACTACACTCCTTAGAGCTACATGAGGTAACCAAAACAGTGTATTCTTCTGAGTGCCTGTTCATGTCCATTCCAATCAGGTGTGCACGCATGCACATGCATGGTAGTCAGAAGATTTTCCCATAGCAGCATCTGTTGGGTCGGTCTGGGTGCCCCCTGGAGTTGCGCCTTTAGGACATTCAAATATAGAGCCCTGCCCACCCACCACCCCCTCAGTTCCTTCTTACCGCCAGTAACGATTAGCTGGAACTTTCCTATGCTCTTGTCTTGGCAAGTGCATTTAGCAGTCTATATACATAGTTTTCATTAGCTCTGTAGTGTTAATTAAATAGTCAGCAGCCCTTAGTGTTACATTGTTTTCTTTCCCCTCCTACACTCTCTCGATGCCAGGGCATGCCCGGGTCTCCAGGCTTCAAAGCCTGCGAAGTCTGCGGCACATGTATGCCCAGAAGCGATCCTCACACTTCGTGTTTGAAGCGTTTAGGAGAGAACCATCAGAAGGATCGTTGCACCATCTGCAAGACCTTTCGGCCCAGGGCATTAAAGGATAGAGATCAGCACCTGAAGGTCCTGTTAATGGAGGCTGCACTCCGCCCCCAGTGTGACCCCAAGTCGACTGACCCTGTGCCGAGTTCCTCGGTGCGGAGAGCTCTGGCACCGTCAGCACAAGCACCAGTGCTGAGTAAGGACAAGTACTCACGGTACCATCCCGGCTCCATTCATGGTTCACATGCCACACGCACACACTGTTCTCAATCGCCAGTACCACAGAAGAAGAGGCCAGAGAGCGGTCGTTCTCCCCGTTAGGCCTAAGGAGCCAGCCATTGTGAGACCCGAGCTGGGCCACACTACTTCTGCTCCACCACCGGTGACAGTTGCATCGACTCCTGCCCACATGGAAGGGCAGTTGAGTCTGGACCCTCCTCGTTCACCGAGGCCAAGACAGGGAGCTGCACCTCCCTTCAACTCCAGAGGCATTCGAGGCAGCCCAAGAATTGCTTCATCTCACGGCACCGTTCTCCCCTCCTAGACTGGACACGTCACCGGCACTGGTCGCTCCCCGAGCACCTTCAAGGGGAAAGCCCGCCATGATGTCCCATCGATCTCCAACCCTGGCGTGCCCCACTCCCGGGCACCAGAACAGACCCAGCAGCTGTGCCAGTCCCCGAGTCCTCGGCATGAACGGTTGGCTCCTAGAAATACCGCTCCTCCGTGGTCCTCTTTTTCAGACACCTCAGAGTTGGACTGCTATCGGTCCCATAGGAGTGTCAACACAGGACCGGCACCCTTACCTGGCACCGTGGCCCGTGCAATGGCAGCCCCCGGAGCAATGGCCCTTTTGGACTCCCTGGGCTTTTCATCAAAGCCAAGTTCAGAGCCAAGGGTCACATCCCAGGGCAACATCGGTGGCCTCAGCCATGTTTGTACCCCCACCAGCACCATTGGCATTGGCAGGATCAGGGATAGCTGCATTGCCACCCGGTACTACCATCCCATCGCCTCCAGCACCAGTGCAGCCTGCACCAGCCCCAGTTGTTTTGGCTCCGACATCTCCAACACTGACAAGGGCTCCGGCACCGATGACAGCCTCGGCACCAATTACACTTTCAGCACCGGCGTCGGTGTATGCAGTCTTGACACCGAGGGACAAGACCCCATCCGAGTCGGCACTGGCCCAAGAAATCCAGGTGCCGCAGGACCCTTTGGGTGAAGAAGGAAGGGAGCAGCCATCCCTTACGGGGGGTCTCTTCCTCATCCTCACCGGACAAGGCGCTGGGCGGGCCTGGCTACAGCCCCAGCCCTGGAGAACAGCTGGGTTCTACAGCAATTGCTGTGGCAGGTTGCCCAGGGTATTCAGGTGGGGGAGGTAGTGGAGGACGCAGATCCAATGGTAGACATCCTTGCTCCCTCCAGACCTGCACGTATCGCCTTGCCTCTTATAAAGATCATCTCTGACACCACAAAAACTTTGTGGCAGACCCCAGCCTCATTGCCCCCTACAGCTAAGCACAACGAAAGGCGCTACTTTGTGCCATCCAGGTGCTACGAGCATTTGTATGTTCATCCCCCACCTGACTCTCTCTCTATTGATGCTGCCAACCAACGTGAACACCAGGGCTTCCACGGATCCTCCCCAAAGAATCGGGAGGCAAAACGACTCAACTTTTACGAGAGAAAGGTCTATTCCACTGGCAGATTGCAGCTCCAAATCTCTAATCAGCAGGCCATTGTCAGCAGGTACTGCTACAACACATGTGGGGCAATGGCAAAATTTGCGGAGCTGATACCGCAGGACTCCCGCACCGAGTTTTCAGTCCTGGTGGAGGGGGGGGGAAGCTCATTTCGCGAGCTTCGCTACAAGCTGCACTGGACGGAACGGATAAAGCTACGGGCATAGCCATGACAAGGGGCTCCTGGCTCCATGTCTCGGGCCTGCCATATGAGATCCAATAGACTATTCAGGACCTCCCATTCGAGGATTCGGCTCTCTTTTCTGAGAAAACAGACAAAAGGCTGCATAGCCAAAAGCACTCGAGAACCACTCTCAAATCATTGGGCCTCCATACTCCCGCTATGCAGCAGAAGCATTTTAGACCACAACCTTCCCTGCACTTCTACCAGCAGAACCATCAGGATGGTTCCCAGAGGAGGAACAGGAGTGGAGGGAAAAGGCCACACTTGTCATCAGGCCAGAGCTCTGGCCAATCCAAGCCACCTTTTGGCCCTAAACAGGCCTTTTGAAGTGCAGTCGAGGATGGCGCACCAGAACAAAAACTGAATCTACCCCGCCTTACCTTTTTGTCCTGACTGTCCCCTTTCTACTGTGCTTGGTCCCTTATCACTTCACGGCTGAGTGTTCCGCACAGTATAGAGGGGATATTCCATCCCATTCTGTACCCTCCCACCATCCTTCAATGTCCCTCTTCGGGGACCTCTCTCACGAGCAACTCCTTATACAGGAGGTGCACTCGCGCCTTTTGCTGGGGGCAGTGGAAGAGGTTCCTCAGGAACAAAAGGGCAATGGTTTCTATTCTCGGTATTTCCTAGTACTGATAGCCAAAGGCAGGCTCAGGCCCAGGCCCATCCTAGACCTGCGAGAACTCAAAAAGTTTGCGAAGAAGCTCGAGTTCCACATGGTCTCTTTGGCCTCCATCATCCATTCATTAGATCCAGGAGACTGGTATGCCACCCTCAACTTGAAGAATGCATACTTTCACATAATAATAACTCAGTCTGACAGAAAATACCTCAGGTTTGTGGTGAACAACACCCACTACCAGTTCACAGTCCTCCCATTCAGCCTGTCAGCCACACCAAGTATTCAGCAAGTGCATGGCAGTCGTGGCCACGTTCCTCCACAGGCGACAGGTACAGGTCAAGGGTCAATCCAGGATTCAAGTAGAAAGGCAGTTTGCCTTCATAAGAGCTTCTTTCTATGAACTGGGCCTGCTACTGAACAAGGGGAAATCAATGCTGTCCCCAGTTCAGCTGATAGAATTTGTAGGGATGGTACTGGACTTGACACACACCAGGGCATTCCTTCCAGATGCGAGATTTCAAGACCGTTTTTCAAGGTCCCAGACAGACAATGTCCCACCACCACAGCATGGAACTGCCTAAAACTTCTAGGACACATGGCAGCTTGTACCTACATAGTACAGCATGCCAGACTTCGACCTCTTCAATCATGGCTGGCATCAGTGTATCGGCCAGCCCACAACAGTTTGGACAGGATTGTAACCCTGACTTGCCCAGTACTTGACTCCCTCCTGTGGTGGCTCGACCCACAGGTAGTATTTGCAGGGGTCCCTTTCACCAGCCCTCAGCCATCCCTCTCACTAGTGACGGACATGTCAGATTTGGGCTGGGGGGCACATTTGGGAGACCTAAGAACCCAAGGCCTCTGGTCTCAGGTGGATCTTGCTCTCTACATCAATGTCAGAGAGCTGTATGTCTGGCATGCCAGACTTTCTGAGCACACCTTGCAGGGAGATGTGTATCAGTCATGACAGACAACACCATGGCGATGTTTTATATCAACAAAAGGGGGTGCATGCTCTTCTCCCATGTGCCAGGAAGCCCTCATGCTGTGGGACTTCTGTGCAGAACACTCGATACACCTGCAAGCATCATACCTCCCTGCAGTACAAAATGAGTTGGCAGACCATCTCAGCAGATCGTTCCACGACCATGAGTGGTCCCTTCGCCCGGACATTTTCCATCAGTGCTGTTTTCCCCAGATGGGCCTGTTCGCCAGGCAACACAACAGGAAGTGTCAGCAGTTTTGCTCCTTCTTGAATCACAGCCCAGGATCCATCACGGACGTGTTCCTCCTCCCATGGGGAGGCCATCTCCTATATGCGTCCCCACCCATCCCTCTCGTTCACAAGGTGCTCCTCAAGATATGGAGGGAAGAAGCTTCGGTGATTCTGATAGCTCCAGCCTGGCCCCGCCAACGCTAGTACACATCACTCCTGAAAATGTCCATGGAAGCGCCAGTCACCTTGCCGCTCTTCCCAGACTTACTAACTTAGGATCATGGTGGTCTCCAACATCCGAACCTAGAGTTGCTGGACTTCATGGTGTGGAAGCTCCATGGAGCTCTCCTGCTCAGACTCGGTTAGATAAGTCCTCCTGGGCAGTAGAAAGCCCTCCACCAGAACTACCTACCTTGCTAAGTGGAAGAGATTTTCAATCTGGTTGGCGCAGCATCATTCACCCCGATGCTCGCCTCTGTGCAATTTATATTAGACTATCTCCTCCATCTCAAGCAGCAGGGGCTGTCCATGTTGTCAATAAGGGTTCACTTGGCCACCATCACTGCCTTTCATCCAGGTGCAGAGGGCCACTCGGTCTTTGCCAAATCTATGGTCAGCCGTTTCCTTAAAGGGGTCGACAGGCTATACCCGCATTTCTGGCAGCATGTCCCGGCTTGGGACCTCAATCTGGTCCTTTCCAGACTCATGGGACCACCCTTTGAACTTTTGGTGACATGCTCCCTGCTCCAACTCTCATACAAGGTAGCATTTCTGGTAGCAATAACCTCAGCCAGGAGGGTGTCTGAGCTCAAGGTCCTGACTTCAGAGCCCCCTTACACTGTGTTCCATAAGGACAAGGTCCAGCTCAGACCTCACCCGGCTTTCCTCCTGAAGGTTGTTTCCCAGTTTCACATCAACCAGGACATCTTCCACCCGGTATTCTATCCTAAGCCGCACTCGAGCAGCAGGCAGGGCCGGCTCCAGGCACCAGCAAAGGAAGCAGGTACCTGGGGTGGCCAATAGAAAGGGTCAGCACTCTGTCCATTATCAGGACGGCACGTCCGGCACTTCAGCGCTCCGTTTTAGTCTTTGGCGGCACTTCTGTGGCAGCTCAATCGGCTTTGGGTTTTGTTTTGTTTTTCCACCGCTTGGGGTGGCAAATAAGCTGGAGCCGGTCCTGGCAGCAGGGAGAAAAGACTTCACTCATTGGATGTCCACAGAGTGCTAGCCTTCTACATCGAGAGAACGTTACCATTCTGAAACTCGGTGCAGTTATTCGTAGCAGTGGCAGACAGAACGAAAGGTCTTGCTGTCTCTTCTCAATGGATTTCGTCATGGATCACGTCCTGCATCCAGGAGTGCTACAACCAGGCAGGAGTACTTGCTCCTTCGATCATTCTACCAGGGCTCAGGCCTCTTCAACAGGATTCCTGGCGCAGGTTCCCACCCAGGAAATCTGCAGAGCGGCGACGTGGTCCTCCATTTACACTTTCACCAGGCACTATGCAATCACCCAACAGGCCAGAGATGATGTGGCCTTTGGAAGAGTGGTGCTCCAATCAGTGGACGACTCCAACCTCACCTCCTGAATCTGGGCTTGAGAGTCATCTGATTGGGAATGGACACGAACATGCACTTGAAGAAGAAAAAAAATGGTTACTCAACTTCTCGTAACTATTGTTCTTCAAGATGTGTTGTTCATATCCATTCCAATACCCACCCTTCTACCCCCGTCGGAGTAGCCGGCAAGAAGATACTGAGGGGGTGGCGCGTCGGCAGGGCTCTATATTAAGCGCCATGAAGGTGTGACTCCAGGGGGTGCCCAGACCGACCCAACAGATGCTGCTAAGGGAAAAATGTTCTGGCTACCATGCACATGTGCATGTACACACACCTGATTGGAATGGACGTGAACAACACACCTCAAAGAACAACAGTTATGAGAAGGTGACTAACCGTTTTTTCTTGGTTCTATCTTTAATGTGGAGTAAAAGAATTAAGAACTAATCAGTGTAAGGTCTACCTGCTATAGACCAGAAGCAATATCCCAGTGAAATACAGTGATCTCATCCAGAAAACTTGTGGATGTGCAAGGCAAACATTGCATGCAAGTAATCAAATCTGGGTACAAAAACAGGAGGAGAGTTCAGGGAGAGAAAAAAATTATTACTTGCCTCAGTGCAATGTACATAGGGAAAATACACTCCCTTGCTATCCTATACACCTCGGACATACCAAATAATCAATTGGAACACTGGCACTTCAAGGAAATCAGCACTGAAGTCATTCAACACAAGGCTTTCTGGAACGATCCGTAAAGGATAAGGTGACATTTCTATTGCACCATTCATTCTGGAAGATCCCAAAGTGCTTTACAGACTTGAATTGATTCTCAACTATACATAGGAGTCACTTTATCCAACACCGATATGTGGAAACCATCACTGTACACCTTAAGTGAGCGGAATGTAATTACCCAAGTTGGAATTTGGCCAGGATACTGCCCTACTCCATGGACTCCATAATGATCACGAATGCTCAAGATCTTGATTTTATATGTCATTTGAAAGACAGAACTTCCAATAGCACAGTTCCCCCCAACACCACGTTGGGGCATCAGTTCAGTTCCGCACTGGCTGACACCTATTGGATCACCAATTCTACTTCCTAGAGCACCTAGGTTTTCCTTAGTGGTCTATCATCCAAGTACTGACCCAGTTTGATCTTGTTTAGCTAAATCTAACAGGATCACAGCACAGGGTGGTGTGACTAACATCTCCCGCAAAGTCTACAAATACTATTAGATTATGGTTGGATTAGAAAAATACAGATGTATATTTATTTGGTATGAATGTGGTGCTAGTGAAAGGTACAGCATGGGCAGCAGCTGTGCAAGTTTCCATTTTAGTCTGGGAGTGTAATGTAGTAAAATCTCATTCTGTGGGCAAGTTAGTGACAGCGAAGTGCCAGTTGATTCATAAAAATCTACAGAATCATAATTTCAATGGTATCATCCTCTGCGACAGGCAGGAACTTGCATCTTTCTCCCCCCAGCTCCAGGTCCTCCGGTCGGTGGAAATTTTGATAACAGGGTAATGTTGGAAATGGGTTGAGATGGGTATCACTCGAAAGCCCTTTCTCTGACAAACATAATGGTATTCAACATGACAAACCAAGAACAATTATATTTGAGAAAATGCTTAAAAATCAACTTTAATTATACTTCAACTCAGGAATGCAATGCATACATAAAAAAGACATTGATCTTTGGTAATCCTAGAGAAGTTAGCCTTGACTTGCAGGATTGAAAACATTTATTCAGCAAAATCACCATCCAGGTCATCTCGGTCTAGGGCACCATTGCTAGACATGCTGTCACACTGATCCTTGTCCATGCCACTCTCGCACCTCTCCATACAAGACAGGCTGATGGCCAAACATTTACAGGGTGAGCATCTGATTAGCTGAAGGATTAATTCAGGAGTATATGGTATTTCACACATAACAAGACCCATCCATGTCCGATAGGGAGAATTATTTTGGATGTGTTCAATCATCCTGGAGCCATTCCATTGCTTGATAATTTGCCCTTGTGTTAGCAGGTATAAATGCACCCCTTGTCAGTGGCAATTTTTCTCCATTTGTCTGCTTCTTGGAAAACATCCATCTATGTAGCTCTGCGAGTGTTGTCATGTTGGTCTTAAAATGATAAACTCAGCATATGAACGTCTCTAGTGCATTTATGACCTCATTAGTGACTGTCTCAGCCGTTCTGAGTACCTTAAGAGTGAGGAAAGTCTTTGGAGGTTGAATCAAATGCCTTCCAGTAAGATAATTTGGTCTTTCCAGTCAACCTTCCATTGTGACATTGGAGAAGTTGTGGAGTCAATTATTTTGTATTGGACAATTGTAATACCATGGAGTCTCTTCTGCCTGGTAATATTTTTCATTGCTTTCTCTGCATACGTGTCAAATGCAAGATGGACTTCGTAATACATCCAGTATTTTCTCTGTAGCCTCATAATGAAGTGTTCAGCCAAATCGTGGCAGGTATTAACAGTTTCTGGTTTGTTGAGAGCATACACCTCAACCATAGCATCTATGATTGCTATGCTGAAAGGTCTCTGCTGGTATAAGGTCCTGGCCAAATTGTTAATAGGTGGTGGCTTAGGAACACAATGGAAGATGTGCATTAGTTTGCTTTTTGCCTGGTACATATGCATTGTTCTATCACATTAAAACATCAATTGTGGTACCACTGAGAACTATTACATTTCCGAAGTCTCACATGCCAATATCATTTTGAGATCTGGACACAACCAGGAGAAGTGCAAACAGTGTCCTATGTGGTTAACTCAGTCATCATCCCTGCCACCTTCACTCTGACTTTATCTCATATATAAAAGAGCACACCTTTAGTCTGTTCTTCTTGACTGGAGCCCATAGATTGAAAGAGCCTGGGATAATTCTTTGGGTTTTAAAGGTTTCATACAAATCATGACCAAAAGTATGCATTTGACTGACATCTTCAGCTATCTCATCACTGAAGACTGCTTTTATCATAATATTAATGAGCTCCGGCCCAAACAGGTTGCCATCCTGGGGGATGGGGGCGGGAGGGACAGCTCAGTGGTTTGAACGTTGGCCTGCTAAACCCAGGGTTGTGAGTTCAATCCTTGAGGGGGCCACTTAGGGATCTGCGGCAAAATCAGTACTTGGTCCTGCTAGTGAAGGCAGGGGGCTGGACTCGATGACCTTTCAAGGTCCCTTCCAATTCTAAGAGATAGGATATCTCCATTTTTTATTATTATTATTATTATTTTTTAAATTGCCCCTTCTTGGCATTTAACTGCACCTAATTAATTTAGATGGTGCTTGTTTTTTTCTGGGGAAGTCATCCCAGCTATGCCAAATGTTTCATTCAAAACTTGATGGATGGAGTTCTGGATTTGTCAGGAAAAACTGTGAAAGAGCCTTTGGATACTGTGTTATGCCCACTCTACCCCCCTTCACTTTCCTTGCTCTGTTTTTATGTTCTAGGGCTTCATCTGAACCAAGTGCACAGAAGGGAGCTGACGGCCTTTTAACAACCCAATTTCCTTTTCAAAATTCCTCCATTTTTCTACACCTCTTATTTCAGGGAGGTACCAGGCAATCATCACAGTATAGCTGGTTAAATCTAAAGCAAAGAAGTATTTAACAAGGTCTTCCAGTGCTGTGAGGTACAAACGTCAATTAGCAGTCCTGACAGATCAAATAAAGAACAGCAAAGACTTGCCCACAGATGGCACTCATCCTGGCATCTTCAACATTTTCCTGGGTGCTTGATGTACTTTCTCTCCAGCCTTATGGGCACACTTCTTATAACCATGTGAGGTGCCACTGAAGCATTGTGTTTAGCCCAGTTCTCCACGGTGGTATTCTCCAAAGATGCAGTTACTACATGGTACTCTATCTCCACACTAATGCCTAAAAATAATCAAGACCAAAGTAAAAACAAGGATTTTGTAATAAATTACTTTGGGATTGTAATTAAATTATATAATGTATGTTATGTAACAATGTGCATACCATTTGCAGATGGATTCCAGTAATTTCTGACTCGATGCTGACATCTTAACCAGTGCCTCATTACAACTCTTTTGGCATAAAAAACAAAGCCGATAATCAATACAACTGAACTGCTTCTTTTTTGCCGATGATGGCAAATCAACTCGAAGTACTCCTTCAATTTATAGTAATCTGTAACATCAAAAAAATTAATCAGGTATCCAGTTCTGGCATTAACTGATGACACAGCACTGTCAGTCAAGGGCCATGATTTAGCTTTGTGAGGGCTGCATGTTTGACATGCCTGTGTTAAAGTATAATTTTTAAAAGTTGACTTTTAAACATTTTCTCTAATGTATAGCTACACAATTGTTCTAGGTTTGTCATGTTGGGTACCCTTGTGTTTGTGAAAGAAAGGGCTTTCAAATGATATCCAACTTAACCCATTTCTGATGACAATGTATTATCAAAAATTCCACCAACTGGAGGACCTGGAGCGGAGTGGGGTGGGGAGGGAGAGTGAGTCCCCCCCCTACCATGCTTCAGAGGGTGACAGCATTGAAATTATGATCCTGTAGATTTTTATGAATCAAGTGACACCTCCCTTACCTTTCTGTCATTAATTTACCCATAGAATTGCACATGCTTCCAGACTATTTACTGACCCAGAAATGTGCTCCAACTCTGCCCTGAATTCCACAGGTGAATTCAGTCCCCATGGCCCACACAGTCCTGTCCCTCTTGTGTGAGGCTGCCAACAAGATTCCCAGTTAGTGACAGCTTGGTCTTGAGGACATGGAACTGGAGTAAGAAATATCTTTCTTTAAAAACAAAAAAGCTAACGCAGAAGAGAAACATGGATGTGATCTGAAAAAGTAAAGAGCAGGGAGATTCATATCTAAAACCTTGAGAATAACTTGAAGGGAGAAAACATACAAAACTCCTATTCTTGATTATACCGAGAAGGCAATCAAACCGCTTACAGGAAGCGGCAGCAGAAAGGAGACATAAGGTTACTTACTATTTATTTTACAATATAAGAACTGTTCCTTATTTTCTACACAATGTGGTTTGGCCCCATATTGTTCCACACTCTAAACAGAACCATTATTCAGCCTGAAATTTTCAGAATTAAAGAATCTATCATCATTGATCCTATGTCCTAATCAATATGTTTGCAGAGAGGAGTGCAGATGTTCAGCCCATCTCAGTATCAGGCCATTGAAGTTTAAAGGAGTTCTAGGACACCAGTGGCTTTCACGTATAGGCATGAAAATGGTTGGTAGGAGAGCTAGATCGTGTAATAAACATAATTTATTAGCTTTTAAGATTGATTCCTTGTAAATTATTTATTGTAAGATGAAGAAATTGTTCTAGCTGCATCTCAGACAATTGCCAGAGCTACAGTTCATTGAGTGCTAAACAGTCTGTGCCCACGTGAAACATTTTGTAGTTGTTAATTGTACTAAATTGTATTTCAAGAAGGGGGTCAGGTCAGATTTTCAGAAGAGTTCAGCTACCATTTAGGTCCTTTAGTAAGTGGCCAGTTTTTCAAAAGTTTGCAGCATTCTGCACCTCCTATTATTTTCATCAGAATCTGTTTGGTGCTGATTTAAAAATATAGCCATTTCGTTTAGGCGCCTATATGGGAACTAAGCTCATCTGAAAATATAGCCCATCAACCCTAAACCAGCCATACATGAAAAAGCCATGAGTCAGGTGAGCCATCCAGTATTTCAACACATTTAACCACTAATTTAACCACTCAACTCTACCTGGAGTACTTGCATAGAGCAGAGGCCTCTGACAGACAGCTTTCCACTCTGCTCAAATTATTCAGGGATAGAAGAGGTTCATCATTCAGAGAGTTGAGCAGAAGTTAGGAATGGAAGATCTAGGTTTGATGGGATCAGATAAGAGGTAGGCAAATGGGGCACAGAAAGGAAAGAGCAAGGCAGAAATAGGGTACGGTAGCCAAGAAGCAGGAGAGGATGATCACAGGTAGATATAAAAGGGGAGGAGAAATTATGGCATTTGAAGGCAAAATATGTTGCAGATTCACTTGGCATTACTGGCCTCCCCCCATGCAGAACCATCCCCATCAATGCTTTCTGATCACTGTGCAGCCATTTACCAACCCTTGGCCACCAGACTACTGGAGGGTATGAAGCTGAAGTCACAGTAAGCATGCAATTCAGGTGCAAAAGGGCTTCACAAGGGGATCCAGTGGGGGACAGACCCTCTCAGGGTATAGCTCACTGATGCCCAAAGGCAATTGAACCCCTTCACCGTGAGACTTTAAAATCTACCTTGAAACCTCTGCCAAATTAGAGTCTCCGCCTCCCCGCAAGTGAATGAGCCAGGGCTACGGGCGTGGGGGCACTGCATTCCAGGCGTGTCAGATGCAAGCCAGTTGCCCAGTCTTTGCCCACCCCTGTTTTGAGCGAGGTAGGGCATGATCCTCACCCAGCACCCTAGCTGCCAATGGCAAAGCTGCCCCTGTCAGGGTACACTGCCCCCATTGTGCCCCGCTATCCCTGGCAGGAGTTATTGGGGGGGGGTGCAGCCCCCAATGTCCCCAGGGGCATGCAAGGCCTCTCCTTAGTCTCCCTCCCTGTTTTTCCCCCATGGGAGTGGGGGGAGCCGATCCCTCTGCACACTGGAGGGCGGGCCCCCACATTCGCCCCCGACTTCCTGTGTTTCACTGAGACATCGGCTGCCTCCTTCCTAGAAATGGCCTAGCCGGGGGGGGGGGGGGGGGCAGCCAGCCCGGCCCCAGCGGGACACATGCAGCTGAGGAGACGCCCTGCCCTGCCCCGCCCCCTCCTAGTGACCTACTTGCAGCCCCCAGCCAGCTAACGGCCATCACCGTGTGCGCTGCTCAAACCCCTCCTCCTGTCCACCCTTCCTCTGTACCTCCTGGGCCCCGGGCGGTTCGGAGACCCAGCGCCAGTGCACACTGCCCCCGCCCGCGGACTCTGCTCTCCGCAGCCCACAGCGAAGGGTTCGAAGCGCCGGAACCGAATTGCCTCAGCTCAAACATGTAGCCCGGCGCTTCCGATACCCTGACCGGAAGTTGAACTGCCCCTAGAGACTGCCATTGGCTGTTGACTTTTCAGGCTGCGCTGGGATTGGCCGCGAAGTGCCGGCTCTTGGGTACGGCGTGACCCGCGCTTCTGGGGTGGGGTGGCGCTGCTAATATGGCGGTGCAGGCTGTGCACCTGGAGGCGGACGCCTTCCTGGTCTGCCTCAACCACGCGCTGAGCACCGAGAAGGAGGAGGTCATGGGGCTGTGCATCGGGGAGGTACCGGCCGGGCCGCGGGCAGGCGGGCCCCAGAGCCCGGGCGCTGGGTGTGCAGGAGTGTCCCCCAGCGGGTGCCTGGCCATCTCTGCTCCGCATAGGCGAGGGGCTGGATGTGTCCCCCACACCGGGGATGCCAGCCTGCCCCCCCCCCGATATAGACTAGGGGGTGGGGTGTCCCCTACCTCGGGGAGACCGTTCCAGTGCCTCTGCTCTTGCTAGGGAGAAGGACAGCCACTACCGTTAGAACTAATACGCCCTGCTGGAGCGGGGGCCTAACCACATTCCCCCTCTCTAGGAGAAAGGTCTGTGTGTGTATGGGGTGCTTGTTAGTAGTACCGTGCCATCCCCCACAAAAGGATCTGTGTATGTGTCCAGAGGTCCTGCTGCCCCAGTGTAGGACTCTGAGATTTAGGGACAAGGGGCTCTTTATCTGTTGGGGTGGGGGGGCTGTAATTTACTGGTTGGGGGACAACATGGACTTGTTAGTGGGGGATGACCCAATGCTAACTGATAAGGTGTGTATTTTCTGGGTGCAGCATTGACTAGTGTTTGCTTGAGAGTACCAGCATTAATTCAGGGTTGGGGGATGTGCAGAGTCTAGCCAATAAGAGACCATTTCTTCATGTTCCAAGTCAAAGCAGCAGGTGAGTGTCTGGCCTGCAGGAAAGGGCTGTGTGTTTTGACTTGATAAGTAGGCTTCTTTTTTGAGAGAGTGGATGTTGGGTAGGCTTTTCATGCCCTGATTGACCCTAAAAGTGAAATATGCATAAAAACATGTAATTAAGTTACATCTTTACACAAAAATAAACTTGCTAAATTCTAGCTTCACCGGTGAACCTGATCCTCAGGGAACTGAAGAAATAATAGCAATGACCAAAGCTGGCATAGTTTAGACATGTTCTGCTTAAGCATTTCTTGCACAGCTCTGGTAATAATGTGCCTCACTCTTGCTCTGGAGCCTACATCTGGCTACTCTCGTCTTGGCTGTCTTTTCAGTAGTCAGCCACTTGTGCCAATTCAGCTGTGAGATTGGTGTGACACCCTAAGCTCATGGCTTCAAGAATTTTAAATTCCTGGTTTCAGAAGTGAAAACCTAGAATAAGTAATCCACTGAAAAACCTATCCCTATGTTTTAAGAGATCTAAGCTGGAAAGCATGCTTTTTTAGTAAAGACGTGATAGCACTCTCATTGAGAAGTTGGTTCACTGAGAGAGATGAGTGATTCTTGCTCTCTCATTTATTATTAGGTCGACACCAGCAGAATTGTTCATATTCATTCTGTGATTATCCTGCGCCGTTCAGATAAGAGGAAGGATCGAGTGGAGATTTCTCCGGAGCAGCTTTCAGCTGCTTCTACTGAAGCAGAGATATCCTTTTATAGAGACTAGCCAGAAAGGGCTGTGTTCAGTAGGAAGCTTTATCAACAAGGTTTCTAAACCTCAAACCCGTATGGTTTCAGTACCACCCTTGGTTTATTGTAGTTAATATAAAGATGCCTACCACCTTTTCACATACTCTGCCTGGGAGGCTGTGCTACAGCTCTCCACTGCTGCAGTCTCTTTCCACACTTTTTTAAATTATGTGATGGAACCATATTGTAATTACCCATTGTTCTTGATCACTTGGTTTTGTCAGAAATATATTCAATGCTTCAGTTTTTAATATGGGTAGAGAAGATCATAGAAGATAAGGATTGGAAGAGATCTCAGGAGGTCATCTGCTCCAACCTCCTGCTCAAAGCAGGACCGACTTCAACTAAATCATCCCAGCCAGGGCTTTGTCAAGCTGGGCCTTAAAACCTCTAAGGATGGAAATTCCAACATCTCCCTAGGTAACCCATTCCAGTCCTTCACCACCCTCCTAGTGAAATAGTTTTTCCTAATATCCGACCTAGACCTCCCCCACTGCAACTTGAGACCATTGCTCCTTGTTCTGTCGTCTGGCACCACTGAACAGCCTAGCTCCATCCTCTTTGGAACTCCCTTCAGGCAGTGGAAGGCTGCTATCAAATCCCCCCCTCATTCTTCTCTTCTTCAGACTAAATAAGCCCAGTTCCCTCAGCCTCTCCTCATAAGTCATGTGTCCCAGCCCCCTAATCATTTTTGTTGCCCTGTGCTGGATCGTGTCCAATTTGTCCACATCCTTTCTGTAGTGGGGGGGCCCAAAACTGGACACAGTATTCCAGATGAGGCCTCACCAGTGCCAAATAGAGGAGAGAATGTTTAGACTAACACCCAAAGTATTATAACTAATCCCTGGAGTTTTAGTTTAAGATTGCCTTTGTATTTTGAAGAAAGCTCACCTTTCACTTTTAGAATTGGCAAATGCAGCAAGAAAACTTCGTAGCAAATGAAAGGTTAATAGGCTTGTGTTTTCAGGTTTGGTGTATTTGAAAAGCCCTTTTTACATGTAATCTTTTTAACGGCAAGAGTCGGATTCTTTGGGTAGCTTACTAGCAATTGTTGTCATATATTTCTATGTACAAATGCACATTGCTTCTGTTCAAGGAAGTGTTACATCTGTGAGGATGTGGCTACGAGGAAGACTGTTTCAACACACACCATCACCTGTCATTCTTCCCTTTAATGTACTAATATCAAATTATCCCTTGAGGGCCATGTTTGGATTCTGCCCCGTGGTTATTATTTAACTTGCACAAGGGACATATAGTCTCTTCTGCTCTATCACTGTTTTGAAAGTACCTTGACTGACACACAGATTGGCTGAGATTACAGGACGTCCCATGAGGGTTGTGGGCTGGTATCATTCTCATCCACACATAACTGTATGGCCGTCTCATGTGGGTAAGAAGTATCTCAGCCCAGAGCTTCATATGGACATGTGCTTCATTGTGAACAATACCACTTTGACCAATTTTTTTTGTTAAAGTGATACTGTTGAAGTTTTTAATCCCACATTTTTCCCTACCTTCAAATTATCTAAAATGGGAAGTCCTCTGGATTTCTAAAGTAGGCAAAGTCTGTTTCTAGGTGTTTTTCAAGACAGCAAGTTCAGAGCTGTAATCAGAAACACAAGGAACAGAAGGAGATACTCAAAGCTCTTTGGATGTCTTTATTTTTTCTAGTTGTACAGTAGAACATCAGAGTTATGAATGCCTCGGGAATGGAGGTTGTTCTTAAATCTGAAATGTTCATAACTCTGAACAAATGTTTATGGTTCTTTCAAAAGTTTACAACTAAACATTGACTTAATACAGCTTTGAAACAGTACTATGCAGAAGAAATATGCTCTATCTTTTTTAGTAGTTTACGTTTAACACAATACTGTACTGTATTTGCTTTTTTTTTTTGCGCACCCGGGGGGGCTCTGCTACTGCCTGATTGTGTAACTTCCAGTTCCAAATGAAGTGTGTGATTGACTGGTCTGTTGTTCCTAACTCTGAGGTTCTACTGTACATGGATGTGTATGCTATAACAAGAGAACAATGCTTCTTCAAAAGAGCTGTTGAAATCTGCTTGGGTGTCTGGTCATTGCTTTGATCTGCCTGTCTGGATACATGTTATACTCCCCGGGGAAAATCTCTGCTACTGCGCGTGTGCATAATTATGAGCCATGCATATTTTTAATTTTCGGCAGAAGCTTTTTTTCTGCACAAAAATGTTGCTACATTTCCACTTTGCCCACCAGAGGGCACTGTGGTGATAGAACACAGCAGCAGCAGCTCCCGGCCATCTAGGGCAGAGAAAGAGCCTGCCTTCTTTGCAGCACCTGTCGGCCCAGGTCAGGAGACGGGCTATGGGGAGACAGACAGCATGGGGGTGCTGGAGGGGTCAGACGGGCTCATAAGGGCTAGTTGGGGAGGACAGACTGGGGAAGAGGCAGAATGGGAGTGGAGGCACAGGGAGGAGAGAGGTGCAGGGCCACATGGTGATGGGGGAGGGGGTGCAGAGCCACATAAGGACAGAGGGTGGCTTAGTGGGGGCACAGACACATGGAGATGGGGGTGTGCAGAGACACATAGGGACGGGGTGGTTGGGTGGGGGCACAGAGACACATGGGGATGGGGGAGGGTGTGCAGGGCCACATGAGGATGGAGGTGAGTGGGTGTCTGAGTGGGAGTGGAGGGACACATGCACAAGAGGTGCAAGGATACATGGGGTGCAGGAACACATAGGGACGGGGCAGATGTGCCTGACTGAATGGAAGCGGCTAGTGGTCAGCCAGGGTCTGCATGGGGGAAGCTCCCTAACAATCCCTCCCGCCTCCCATACTTTTCCCACCCATACCCAACAACCCTCCAAGTTCACACCCAGGCTCCTTCCCAGCAATTTACTTCCCTCTCCCTCAGCTCCTCCATTACCCCTGACTCCCACAGGCCTGTTCACTGCTTCTGAGGGGTGTGGGAAATACGGTTCTGTATTGTAGTTTAAATGAATTATTACTCAGAATTCTGTATTAATATGCCTAGTAAGGAATCTATTTGTCAAAAAACATTTCCTGAATCTTTTTTGTTGTCTGTATTGTTACAGACATACTTGCTGACAGGTATTTTGAAATAAATGACCAAAAATAATTGAAACTGGTGTAATTATATTGTGTTATTTTGACAAATAAAATATGCAGAATTGTGCAGAATTTTTAATTTTTTACAGCATTTTTAATTTTTTGGCACAGAATCCCCCCAGGGGTAATGTTATCAGGCTGACTTTTTACTTCATTATTTCATATTGCATATTTTATATATAGGATTTTAAAGATAGAACATTAGCATTTTAGCCTTGTTTTGTGTTAGATCGTTACTGGAAACTTTTAAATATTCCTTTAAAGCTGGCTATTTTTTGGACATGGAGAGCTATTCTTTTTAAAATACCTCCCCCCAAAAAATCATTTGACTAGAATGAAAATAAAGACTATTATCTGGAAAGATGGCAAGTCTTTGCCTGGTGTTTCAGGTGACGGGCACAGTCCTTCACTGCTTAGCAGCAGCCTGTTTATTTTGTTTTCATTCACACCTGCAGATGTTCGCACTCAAGCCATGTATCAGATGATGGACCAGGGCTTTGTGGGGCTCATCTTCTCCTGTTTCATTGAGGACAAGAACACAAAGGTAGGCAACTTGCAAATGGAGAGAAACCCTTCATATGCCAGTTTGAAGCTTCAGCTTTGATGCAGAGGTGAAGTCTTACGTTTAACTCTGAATGGTATCTGAAATAAGGGTTCACTCTGGAGTTGGGTCAGGGGCCTGCTGGAATGTAATCAATGTAAATGCAGCACAGATGTAAATTAATCTCCAGGCTGGTTTGGTCACAATGCTACAGTTGAATGTGGTTAGAGAAGATGCTCTGGAGGAAGCAAACTTGTGTTTAGCTCCAATTTATAATTGGCAAATGTAGCAAGAAAACTTGATGGGAAATGATAGTTTTCAGGGTTGGTGCATTTGAAAATTCCCCCAGTAGAATTCTGCAGCCTATAGATTGTTTCGTAGCTCTGGTCCCAGAGCTCAAACACCAGCAGACAGAATGGTGTGCATCAAAAAGTAACTTATTGCACCACAATAACACATTCCATTCAGTATAGACTTTTTTTTGTCCTGTCTTTCAGGCCTGTTGTGTCTAATTAGTTCAGAGTGTCTTGTCTAACATCATTGTCCCCTGTGAGAGGCTAACAGTTGGGATGAACTGGGAATGAAATGTTGCCTTTGACCAGGTTTTCCAGGTTTTTGTTGATTTAATCAGATGGTTCTGGTTTAAGAGTTTTCATATGATAGTTAATATAGTCTGTAGTGCAGGGATTCTCAAACCGGGGGTTGGGACCCTTCAGGGGGTTGCGAGGTTATTACATGGGGGGTCGCGAGCTGTCAGCCTCCACCCCAAACCTCGCTTTGCCTCCAGCATTTATAATGGTGTTAAATATATTAAAAAGTGTTTTTAATTTATAAGGGGGGGGTTGCACTCAGAGGCTTGCTATGTGAAAGGGGTGACCAGTACAAAAGTTTGAGAACCACTGCGTGAGTGTCTCAGTATTTGCTTATTAAGAATTTTTCATTCCTCCTCCCTCACCAAAAAGTGGTACATTTGAACCCTCAGGGAAAGTATTATTTGAAAGTTTGGATTTCAAGTGAGCTCTCATTGCCCATAGTCTGATGTTTATCTCTCCTGATTCTTTTAGACGGGCCGGATACTCTACACCTGTTTCCAGTCAATTCAGGCTCAGAAGAGCTCAGAGTAAGTACTGTCTGAAAAGCTTCTTAACATTCATCTCACAGGAGAGAAATGATCAGTCTCTTCTGTCTCCTTTTAATTGTCAGCTTTCCTTGGTAACTTAAATGAGTAGTACTATTATTGTTTGATCATCTGAACATAGAACTAAATGTTGTGTCAATCCCAGTAATTATGGAAGCGTAAAGGAGGTCTCATTTCCGCTTGAAAGTGGACAAATTTCTAAAGGGGAATCTAAGCCATAGGAGCCTTAGTGTTCGTATGCTTATCGGGCTTTCGCCAATGCTGACTTCCTAGTTACTCTCTTTTCCCATTCCTAAACTGGGTAATGAGTACCATTACAAACTGCTTCTCGAATGTCAGTCAGCACGAGCAAGCCTGCCCGGCAGCAAAGCTATGGTGATGTCACTGTTGGGCAAGCCGTTACTGCTGTATGGAATATATGACTGTCTAAAGCAGCAGACCACAAGGTATGATAACTTGCACGTGATCATCTTGCAGGTATGAGAGGATTGAAATTCCTATTCATGTTGTTCCCCATGACACCATTGGCAAAGTGTGCCTGGAATCGGCGGTGGAGCTGCCCAAGATCTTGTGCCAGGAGGAGCAAGATGCATACAGGAGAATTCACAGGTAGGGGGAGTCAGGGTCCCACAGCACCAGAGGGTCTAGTTGATGACAATAGCTTTTAAAGTTAATATACTTGACCCTCATAGTCCTTTATCCTGAGCAGAGCACAAGTGTAGAAAGAAATAAAGGGGTAGCTACACCTAGTATCATGAGGGGCCTTGAAGCTATCTTTCAGTCCTAAAGTTCTGCTCTTTATCCTATGTGTTTATATGTCTGGTTAATGACTCCTGCTCCCTGAGGTGCCTCTGCAGGGGCACTAGTTTCAAAAAATTCTTCCAAAGTTTTCATCTGTAAGCCTGACAAGACTGCAAATCCTTGCTTAGTGGAATGTATCTCAGGCCCCACTCCCAGAGATGGAGAGGCTACAGCTAGCAACTCTTCTACTAGCCTAGAAAAGGGTAAGGGGCCTGCATAGTATGACAGTGATGCTAATACTAAGGCAACTGCATGAGCCTCTCATGATCATGGTTATCCAAGTGTGATAGGAGTGAAAATGGCTGATCAAAAGGGAAGGTATTTGAGAAATAAGACCAAATGCTAGTAGGATTACCACCCTCCTGTCATAAGCCTCTGTCTGTGGAGTTCAACATGGAGAATGCATGATACTCTATTATAATGCATGGTTTGATGCGGTGTGATCAATGCAGTGGAACTCCCATTAAGTAAGGGTGAGTAGTTCCAAAGTGCCTGTGGTTTTACACTCTTGTAGGTGGCTGTCTTCAGTAATTCAGGTTCACCTAATATTCACCTAATATGCTGTCTTGTCACCAGCTGTGTTCTGTTCTTTCCCTTAGCCTCACCCATCTAGATTCTGTAACCAAGATTCACAATGGCTCAGGTAAGGGTTCCTCTTCTGGGAATAAGGATGCTGGACTGTGAGTTGAAATATGAGTCACCTTGTGGTCTTGAAAAATGGTAATTTTTGGTCAGTCTATAGAGGGCAGTAGACCACAATGTAGACACACGGTGATACACTTGGAGATGTTCAGCATTGAGCCAGCCTGTGAACAGATTACTTCACCCAAGTTTAGCACTATGTTTTGATCTTGCCATGTAGTTTGTCTTGCTCCGCAGCTTGGCTGACATTCAAACTTGTCCGTTCTTATATTGGGGGCTAGGGGAGTTCAGTAGTGAATCAAATTATTCGTTACATTTCTGGTGTTTGGAGGGGTGGGGGCAACTGACTTCTAATGTGGGCTAAATCACAAATGGAATGAACTGGATGGCCTCCTTCAGTTTATCCATTTGGTTTTAAACCATTATAGAACTGGACTTGGTGTTGGAACAGCACAGGGTACTGTAGTATGGATGCATCTTAAAGATTACTCCTGGGGGAATTCATGGCCCCCGCAGATTTATTAGCTTCCCCTCAGAAAAATGACTTTCTGACGGGAAACATAAGAAGAGGATGCAAAGGGAAGCCACAAGAGCGGTCATGAGCCCCTCTCCAGCAGTTCAGGTGCATTATTTCAGGGGCCTGGAGCAGCTGGTGGAGAGGTAAATCACTGCTGAGCCCCAGGCCCCCTTCTCTACCCCCCCCCCTTCCGCTGAGCCCCAATCACCTTCACCTGGACCTCCCTGCAGAGTCCCATTGCGCTTGTACATGGAAGCCCCCATTGACCCCTGTGCATCCAGATCTTCTCCGCATCTCGCCCCCACACTGAGCTGCCCACACCCAGAATGCTCCACACAGAACTCGATCACCCCACACTAAGTCTCTTCACGACTGAGCCTGCCAGCCCATACCTGATGTGCCTGGTGCGGAGGGGGAGGGCCCCAGGATGTTTCTGGGTCAGGCCCGGCCCTTGCGCTGTGTCAAGGTTGGGTGCAGCCTCACCACCGAGTCCGTACCCCTTGGTGGGGGGGAGAGGACGGGGCTGCAGGGAGATCTCCCACCTCCATGTAGCCAGTGGTCTGTGCTCCAGGATAGCAGTGGGGAGCCTCCATATTTATTTATTGACAAATTTTGCAGAATTTTCAAATACTGGGTGCAGAATTTATATTTTTTTGGCGCAGAATTTCCTCAGGGGTAATCTTAGAGCTGTGCTGGTCCAGAATTAAAATCAGGGTAAAGGGGGCCAATCCATATTCCTGTGGATACCTACTGGTGCTTCCGCATGTGAGGTACACCAACGTAGACTGCTGTGTGGTCACACATCACTGAGGGGAACTAGGTCTCATTAGTTCCATAGCATTTAACTCTGATTTTCATAGGATGGAGTGTTGTTCTACCACAAGAGTGGCCAATGCTATGTCTAACTTTCAGTGTAAAATATGTTTTCATTATATAAGATACTCTTTCCCCTATTGACTATGAATAAGACTACGTTTTCGTCATGGTAAAAAGTCATGTAGTAAAAGTCACGGACAGGTCACGGGCAGTAAACAAAAATTCACAGCCTGTGACCTGTCCATGAGTTGTACTATATATCCCTGACTAAATCTTGGGGAGGGGGTTGGCCCGGGAGTGCCGCGGGTGCTTGGAGGGAGGAAGGGGTCCCCGGCGGGCGCTGCGGGTGTCAGGGAGGGGGACAGTAGCTGGGGGGGAGGGGGGAGGGATCCCACTGGTGCTGGGAGGGTGGTTGGTGGAGCTGCAGGCTCCCTACCCGGCTCCATGCCTCCCCAGAAGCAGCGACATCTTTCAGCTCTTGCAGAGGTATGTCCAGGCAGCTCTGCACGCTGCCTCCTCCCTGAGCGCCGGCTCCACAGCTCCCATTGGCCGGGAACTACGGCCAATGGGAGCTGCGGGGGTAGTACCTGCAGGCGGAGGCAGTGCGCAGAGCCCCCTGGCTGTGCCTCCCCACTAGGAGCCAAGGGATGTCGCCGCTTCTGGGGAGACCCCC